ATCCGGACTGTTCTTGGAGTAGTCTGGTAATGTTCGGACTGTTCTGATCGCGTTAGAACTGTTTACAAGGTGTTCGGTCTTTTGTGAAATTTTCAGATACTGAACTTCTCCATGGTCTGTTGATAATGAAGAAGAAATGCACAGGTCATGTCCAAGCTTCTCACACTGTGTGAGAAATATACAGGTCTTGTTCAATCTGAGACATGCAGGTCATGTTCAAGCTGATCACTGCCTGTGCGAGACATGCAGGTCATGTTCAAGATGATCACTGCCTGTGCGAGACATGCAGGTCATGTTCAAGCTGATCACTGCGTGTGCGAGACATGCAGATCATGTTCAAGCTGATCACTGCGTGTGGGAGACATGCAGGTCATGTTCAAGCTGATCACTGCCTGTGCGAGACATGCAGGTCATGTTCAAGATGATCACTGCCTGTGCGAGACATGCAGGTCATGTTCAAGCTGATCACTGCGTGTGCGAGACATGCAGGTCATGTTCAAGCTGATCACTGCGTGTGCGAGACATGCAGGTCATGTTCAAGCTGATCACTGCGTGTGCGAGACATGCAGGTCATGTTTCAAGCTGATCACTGCGTGTGCGAGACATGCAGGTCATGTTTAAGCTGATCACTGCGTGTGCGAGACATGCAGGTCATGTTCAAGCTGATCACTGCATGTGCGAGACATGCAGGTCATGTTCAAGCTGATCACTGCGTGTGCGAGACATGCAGGTCATGTTCAAGCTGATCACTGCGTGTGCGAGACATGCAGGTCATGTTCAAGCTGATCACTGCCTGTGCGAGACATGCAGGTCATGTTCAAGCTGATCACTGCCTGTGCGAGACATGCAGGTCATGTTCAAGCTGATCACTGCGTGTGCAAGACATGCAGGTCATGTTCAAGCTGATCACTGCGTGTGCGAGACATGCAGGTCATGTTCAAGCTGATCACTGCGTGTGCGAGACATGCAGGTCATGTTCAAGCTGATCACTGCGTGTGCGAGACATGCAGGTCATGTTCAAGCTGATCACTGCGTGTGGGAGACATGCAGGTCATGTTCAAGCTGATCACTGCGTGTGCGAAACATGCAGGTCATGTTCAAGCTGATCACTGCGTGTGCGAGACATGCAGGTCATGTTCAAGCTGATCACTGCGTGTGCGAGACATGCAGGTCATGTTCAAGCTGATCACTGCGTGTGCGAGACATGCAGGTCATGTTCAAGCTGATCACTGCGTGTGGGAGACATGCAGGTCATGTTCAAGCTGATCACTGCGTGTGCGAGACATGCAGGTCATGTTCAAGCTGATCACTGCGTGTGCGAGACATGCAGGTCATGTTCAAGCTGATCACTGCGTGTGCGAGACATGCAGGTCATGTTCAAGCTGATCACTGCGTGTGCGAGACATGCAGGTCATGTTCAAGCTGATCACTGCGTGTGCGAGACATGCAGGTCATGTTCAAGCTGATCACTGCGTGTGCGAGACATGCAGGTCATGTTCAAGCTGATCACTGCGTGTGCGAGACATGCAGGTCATGTTCAAGCTGATCACTGCGTGTGCGAGACATGCAGGTCATGTTCAAGCTGATCACTGCGTGTGCGAGACATGCAGGTCATGTTCAAGCTGATCACTGCGTGTGCGAGACATGCAGGTCATGTTCAAGCTGATCACTGCGTGTGCGAGACATGCAGGTCATGTTCAAGCTGATCACTGCGTGTGCGAGACATGCAGGTCATGTTCAAGCTGATCACTGCGTGTGCGGACATGCAGGTCATGTTCAAGCTGATCACTGCGTGTGCGAGACATGCAGGTCATGTTCAAGCTGATCACTGCGTGTGCGGGACATGCAGGTCATGTTCAAGCTGATCACTGCGTGTGCGAGACATGCAGGTCATGTTCAAGCTGATCACTGCGTGTGCGAAAGGTTCAGAGCATGAGTTTATAGTATTTTTTTATTCTCTATCAGTGTGACGTCGTAGATTTGAGTTGTAAAAATGAGAGCGTCCTCAGTGTAGTCCATTGAATCCACAACTGATATTTTACCGTATTAACACTTGTTCGTATGACCCCCTCAACAGCCCCCCCCCCTCAGGCCCTACGAATTTAACGTTTATTAAATTTGAGGGAGTAAACTAAATCGGATAAAAACAAAGGTTAATGCGTAGTTTTATCAGTAAATATATTTCCAGTTTGGACTCTCGAGGTAAACAAAGCACAGACTCGAATGTAAATTTTTGGTCGAGTGGAAACTCCACTTTGTTACAGCACTGGTCAATGGAAATGATGCAGTAAATTAACATCTGTTTTGATGTTTTCGTTCCTGGAGATTTCTTGGTGGTGCTGATGCAGTGGTTCTTTTAGCTAAAATCAATGTGTGCCTCTAACTTCGGCCCCACGATGGAAAGTCTTTTTGACCTTCACCGGGAGACTTTCACTTCTCTAGCTTCCATCCTAGACCTAGGGTTCTCCTCGGAGACATCAAGTCGTACTTGATGTCTCAAGTACGGCTTCCACTCTTCAACATTAGGTCTTTGACACCTGCCAGGTGGGCGAATATCTTAGGTGGATGCTCTTTTTTAGTGGGCACTAAGATGACACTAAGGAGACGCTGGGTGAAGGAAGAAAAGGAGCAAGAAAGGGAAGGAAAGAAGGAAGAAAGGAAAGGAAAAGAAGGCGGAAGGATGGTTTCCGGAAACTAGAAAAAGAAGGTGTTACAACCCTCAATGAAAATGAACAGCTTAGTAATTTATAGTATGAAAACTTACGCATATATATATATATATATATATATATATATATATATATATATATATATATATATATATATATATATATATATATATATATATATATATATATATATATATATTATATATATATATATATATATATATATATAATATATATATATATATATATATATATATATATATATATATATATATATATATATATATATATTTCATATAAAAATTATTACTTTGTATGAACAGGGCGAGTGTATCGAAGGAACTTGACATTCGTATATAGAGATGTGATGACGATGGTGGTGTGTTATCAGTGATGGATGAAGAATATAGAGAATTATTTATCAAGATTCGGCGGTGTGTGTGCATGTGCGTGTGTTTGTGATGGTGAGCATCGTGGCACTCAAGTCTGTGTGTGGTGTCTCTGGACCGTAACGTCCATGTGCGAGGCCAGACCACGGATCTGAAGACCACTTCACCTCTCGATACACTTTTGCGCGCACGGGCGGAGAGGCCAGACTTCACTAGGCCTAGAGGCGAAGACAGCCTCTTTGTTTTATTTTATCGTTTTCTGTAAGGATATCCTAGACGTTTTACGGAGCAGTGTGTTCACGGATACTCTCTGTGGATGCTGGCTTCCTTCAGGATTTGTGAGCTCCTAGGTGGAGTGGTGGCTGAGGAGAGGCGCTGGGATCTGAACACTGTGTTCTGCAGTGTTCTTTTCCACTTGTCTTGTGTGTCTCTTAGCTTCATTAGCCAAGTTTGCTGGGGGATGAGAGAAATAAATATGAGCGGAAGTGTCAAACTGGGGGATCAAAAGTAATTTTATTAATATGCCTGACTGTCTGCTTTTGTGATTATCTCTATTCACTTGTCTATCTGAATGTCTACAGTATATGCTTATCTGTCTGCCTCTCCATAAGTTTGCCAATCTACATGTCTCTATGGTTTCCTGTATGTTTGCTTTCCTATATGTTTGCTTTCCTGTTTTTGTCTCTGTGCCTACTGGTCTGCCTGTCTCTGGGTCTATATGCTTGCCTGTCTAACTATCTATGCTTCACTGCATATTTGCTTGCCTCTGCATGTGTCTTGCTGCTACCAGTTTATTGACTATTGCCTGTTCATTGATAATTATACACAAATAAATTTGTTTAGTCCAAAAAGGGAGATTGTTTTGAAGAGCGACTATATAATAGTACAAATAAACTCTCACTTAAATGGTATGTGGACAGCTGGTAAGTTTATCAGTTTAAAGATGATGTCTTGGGTGCAGCACAGTAAGTGCTGTAACTCTTACCCACCTTTTTTACCAGAGTCTGTGGCTGGCAGGTATCATAGAACAGCCACCCTGACTTATGAAATCGTAATAGCACAGTTGCAAGCAAACGACGGTACGGGTGAGGTTAGAACCCGGAGCGAGTGACTCACCTGCCATGGGTTCACGCCTCACCCGCACCGTGGTTTGTTTAACAGCCACCTTGTTTAACCAGTCTGTGGCTGGAAGCTGTCATGGAAGATTTATGTTGTTTAACCCAGTCCATGGCTGGAAACTGTCATGGAACCACCTTATTTAACCATGTCTGTGACTGGGAGATAGCTTGAAACACCCACCTTATTTAACCCAGTATGTGACTAGGAACACTCCTGAAAAATCCACCTGTTCAACCAGTCTGTGGATGGAAGGAAATACGAAACACCAACCTTAATCTGATCAGTTTGGGCCTGGAAGGTGTAGACAGCGACGATCTGCTGGAAGCGGTTGAGGTTGACGAGAACGAAGGCAGCTTCGAGCTTGGAGGCTGCAGACTCCTGAGGAGTGACGTCGTGGATGAAGAAGCGGTCCAAGGAAAGAGGCTGCTTGTAGACGATGTAGCGGAGGGCGGAGTCGCTCCCTGTAGATCCCCTGGAGCACGAACTTGGCCAGTTCTCCGTCAGGGACGATTTCTGTAGGAAATACCAGTGGTTAAAATTCTTTGTCTTAAGAAAATAAAGTACTGCATTTAGAAATGTGTCTATCCATCCACTGTCTCCAATAAGTTCTTTACTTTATTATCTCTAGTTGTTTCTGGTAAACAAACATTGATATAGATAGGTGAAAATGGACACCGGGAAATCAGAAGTGTGTTCTTAACTTGATATTTATCAAAAGTTACATTATCGTCCATGGATTACTCTTTCACCTCTCATATAAGTGAGTACAAATAGGAAGCGCGTCTATCTTGCGCTCAGCATACGGAGGATCAAGCCTCCACCACGTCTTGCGCCGGATAACCCACCTGGGTTTAGAACTTAACATCAATTATTATCATTTTTAATTATTATTTTACGTCTCTTCCTCTTCCCTGTTATGTGCCCCTCGTTAGTGCTTATTCTTTACACTGAATTAATGACACCATTTCCACCTCCTCTGTTAAACTCTTCTTACTCCCCAGTGACTTGGTGTCATATACAGATTTATTTTATACGAATTTTCCGAATAAGATTCGAAATTACCTTTTTATGGAGTCCCTTCTTCCTGCGGGTGATGAGGAGCATATCGTCGAAGAGGATGACGTACATTTCCTGGGGTTTGTTGTGGTCTAACATGTGTAGAGAACCTTCAAGGATGATCTGTCTTCGTGGTGACACAATCAGACGCTCACAAGGCTGTCGCGAGATGGCTCCCTGTATTGAGAGAGAAAGAGGAGAGATAGAGAAGCAAACAGCAGCAGAATGAGTTGATGGCGTGATACGCTGAGAGAAATGTATAGTAAACTAACAGATTGTCATACCTGGAAAAGTCTTCCTCCATTACTCAGCGTTTGTTATGGTCTGTCTAAGTGAAATAACAGAATCATAGTCTGTTTACTTTAGACAACTTTTAAAAGAATTTAAAAACTCTGGAGAGGTTTTCACCGAGACTCCCAGGCACCTTAGAAGAAACTGATGAGACGAATGTGGAAATACCTGGGAAAGATAGATAATTTTCTGCTACTATCTGTCAAGGACTATTTTCTATATAGATTAAGAACTATAATGTATTGTCTATATGTCTGAGACACCGTTAGTAAAGCAGAAGATATTCTTCCCGCTTACAACAGTGTGTAATAGTATGTAACAGTGTGTAATAGTCTGTAACAGTGTACAACAGTGTGTAACAATTAATAACAGTGTGTAAGAGTGTGTAACACTGTGTATTAGTGTGTATCAGTGGGTAATAGTGTCAAATAGTGTGTAACAGTGTGTAACAGTGTTTAATAGTGTGTAACTGTTCGTAACAGTGTATAACAGTGTGTAACAGTGTGAAACAGTATGTAATAGTGCGTAACAATGTGTAACAGTGTGTAACAGTGTGTAACCGTAGTTTAGAAAGAACAGTTAACAGTGAGCCACCTGAGCTAATAATAAGAGTAGTAGTAAATGTAGAGCTAGAGGCAGTTTGCTAGCTCTATTTTACCACTACGTAGGTTTAGAAGTAGAGCTAGTAAATATAGTTGTTATAGCCACCTGACTACTACGTAGTGGAAGAAGTAGAGTAGAGATAGTAGCGTTGTAGCTCTACCTGTACTCTACTGTAGTGAAGAATAGAGCAGAGAATAGCTGTTTAGCTCTACCTTACTACTACTGTAGTGGAAGAAGTAGAGCTAGAGATAGTAGCTGTTGTAGCTCTACCTGTACTACTACTGTAGTGGAAGAAGTAGAGCTAGAGATAGTAGCTGTTGTAGCTCTACCTGTACTACTACTGTAGTGGAAGAAGTAGAGCTAGAGGTAGTAGTTGTCGTAGCTCTACCTCTACCACAACTGTAGTGGAAGAAGTAGAGCTAGAGGTAGTAGTTGTCGTAGCTCTACCTCTACCACAACTGTAGTGGAAGAAGTAGAGCTAGAGGTAGTAGTTGTCGTAGCTCTACCTCTACCACTACTCTTATAATTAGCTAGGGGATGGTAAATCATTGTTAATTGTTCGTCCTGAACAAATTTCTGACAAACATCAGCTATCCATTGATTTCGTTTTAGCTCAATATAGTATCTAATTGAATTCTATGTTTGCTAAGTACTTGTCCAGCTGGTTCATAAGTGACTATTGTTTTCGCACTTACAGTTTCAGTAGGCAGTTTATTCCATTTCGCTCTGATTGTGTTTGCTATTAAAAAAAAGAAAAACTTTACACACGTTAGTGTTGGATTTCTTACCTCAAACTTTTATTTCATTATTACTAGTTAAGTGCACTTCCAAAAATTCTTAATGTTTGATTGTATCAAAATCTCTCAGTTTCTTAAAGATCTGAATGAGATCTTCCTGTAGTCTCCGTGTCCTTATACAGAAAAAGTTAAGTAGTCAGAGTCTTTCTTAATCAAGGTTGTTTCTGAGTGATGGTACAAGCTTTGATGCCATTATCTGTATCCTCTTCAGTCTGTGTTTATCTTTTATATAACCTGGAGACCATGACAGCATATTGAAGATAGTCTAATAATTACGTTACAGAGAGTCAATATATTTTCTGGTGTTTTTTTCTCGTTTCTTGAAACGGGTATTAATTTGCTGCTCACTGACAGGCTTTGTTAGGTACTCTTGAGGATCTTTCTGATGATTATCTCAAGATCATTGTCTTCTGTTCCACTTTATTTGTTATCACACATTTAATATTCCTGTTCGAGATAATTGTATTCAAAATACATTACTTTGTACTTGTCAACATTGAAGTTTGTCTTCCATGTCTCCGACCACAGCGCCATCATCTCTAGATCACTCTGAATACTCAAACAATCCACTCTGGATGCTGCATTTTATAGGAAACAGAAGCTTATCACGACATTTCTATCGGGTTGGTCCAAGTCGGACCGAAACGTCTTCGTAAGTTTCAGTTGTCTATGTGCGGGTTATTTGTATATAGTTCCAGTCACGGTATTATGCCCTGTTATTCTTTTTTTTCCCCCAAGTTTGTGTCTTCCCCAAATTTTACATTTTTAATTTTTTCTTTTTTAAAGAATTGATCCAGGAAGAACTTGACTGTACGTCTCGTAACTCAGACATCTCATTCGTTATTTACTATTTGTGAGTCAGCCATTAATCCAGCTATCTTCCGTGCAGTACTTCGTCGATTATTTCTGTTTGGGGGGAAATCTGGATATACTGCATCTGGTGGGACTTTTCATCCCAGTTTTTCCTGTGTATAATTTAAAAACTCGAGTAAGTGCGAACTTTCGTTGTGAAATCCGTGTTGATTTTCGGTTCTTAAGAAATTTTTCTCGGGAAAATTGACGATCTTGTTCTCATCAACAGTCTTCATTGGCTTACCTAAAGTTGTTGTTAAACTGATGGAATGAAAGTTGAGAACACAGGGTTTATTTCCCTTGTTGAATACTGGTGGTACCATTTTGCTAATTTCCAGCCTATAAATGGCATCTGATCTAGTGATTTTGTTAAATATTATCGAGAGTAGGTTAGTAAATTAGTGACTGCCTTCTTATAATACTCTGGAAGCCAGGTCACCTGGTCTACTTGATTAATATTACATCTAGACAGCTAATTTCGTTATTATTTACTTTGTTAGAGTTAGTTCATAAAAAAATAAATTATGCACTCTGAGAATGTTTGTGTCGTGATCAGCTGTAAGTAAAGATCCTCAGGTTGTGTTGGGTATTTGTCCACACATCTCCGTTTCTGGAGTTTATCTGGAGAGAGTTCCGGGGGTCAACGCCCCCGCGGCCCGGTCTGTGACCAGGCCTCCTTAAGTCAGTGTCCCAGGATGCGACCCACACCAGTCGACTAACACCCAGGTACCCATTTTACTGATGGGGAACATAGACAACAGGTGGAAAGAAACACGCCCAATGTTTCTACTCTGGCTGGGAATCGAACCCAGACCCTCGCCGTGTGAAGCGAGAGCGTTAACCACCAGGCCACCAGAGCCGTTGCTGATAAGTAAAACACACGTGCAACAGTTGGGTATCTTTATTCTGAAACGCTTCACCTACAAAATAGAACTCTTCAGTCGAATACAGGAGGTAGCACAAGCAGAAGATATGTAAGACTATGCAATCAGTCTATTACCCTCGTAGACGTAGTTTTGAGGTGGTCAGTCCCTCAGGCTGAGGAATTAACCAGCCACTGTCTCGCAAGCCAGACAGCGGTTGCAAAAACTTTATATAAAATAAAAAATTATATTAGTGGCATAACCTTAATCCTGTTTCCAAATTCTGGACAAAAACCGCGTAAGGCTGCCAGACTCGTCTGGTTGAAAATGTTATTTCAACACAACGTTCAACCTCAGTAAAGCCAATCTGATCAAGGTGTCGCTAATGGACCAACTCCGTGGACAGTCAGAAGACGCGTATTAGACCACATGACGGGCAGTCATCATCTAACTCACTCTGGCTTAGCTTCTGGCAGAGATATCACTCCATCAGTGAGATTTTTCACTGATTCACGTGTGTATCACATTATAAAAGAATAAATGTTTGATTAATGAGACCAAAGTGACGAAACGAATGCTGATGTTAAAGCACGTTTTTACCTTCATCCTGTCGCTCTGTCGCTTATACATATACATCGTGCAAGCGAACATTTGTGTATGCAATAATTTCGAAAAAAATCATTCTAAAAATAACGAAAAAAATATATTTCGTTGTGTTTGTTTATTATTAAATTATCATAAACTTATCTAAAATATACCTAGTTGGATTAAGCTAAATTAAATTGCGCTTGTTATAATAAGGTTAGGTAAGTTTTCTAAGGTTCTTTTGGTAAAAAAATTAATTTTTACATTAATATAAATGAAAAAATATATATCTTTAAACGAATAAAAGAAAATTTTAGAAAGGACTTAATTTGAAATGAGTTGTTATTAATTGACTAGTTTTTACCTATTTGGCACTACACACACACACACACACACACACATACACACACACACACATACACACACACACACACACACCACACACACACAACACACACACACACCACACACACACACACACACACACACACACACACCACACACACCACACACACATATATATATATTATATATATATATTATGCAAAACAACCACTCTGAAAGAATAGAGAAATTCCAAGCGCTTTCGTGACTACTCACATTATCAAGGAACTATGTTCCTTGATAATGTGAGTAGTCACGAAACGCTTGGAATTTCTCTATTCTTTCAGAGTGGTTGTTTTGCATATTTTGAAATCACTGTTTACTGTGATCTTATTGCATATATATATATATATATATATATATATATATATATATATATATATATATATATATATATATATTTATATATATATATATATATATATATATATATAATATATATATATATACAGTGGAACCTCGAAAATCGAACTGCTCCCAACTCAACCAATTATATAAGTGTATTTTTGAGGGTTTGAAATGGACTAATCTAATTTACATTATTCCTGATGGGAATAAATTTATTCGGTAACAGCACTTGGACAGCCTTCTGGACTGAAGAAAGTTCGATATTTGAGGTTCACTGTATATATATTATATATATATATATATATATATTATATATATATATAATATATATATATATTATATATATATATATATATATATATATGTCGTGCCGAATATGTAAAACTGGTCAATTGCAAGAACTTATTTAAAATTAAATCCTTTCTAAAATTTTCTCTTATACGTTTAAAGAATATTTTTTCATTGATGTTAATGTAAAAATTTATAATTTTGCACCAAAAGAATCTTAGAAAACTTACCTAACCTTATTATAACAAGAACAATTTATTTTAGCCTAACCCAACTAAATATATTTTAGATTTGTTTACAATAATTTAATACTAAACAAACACAGTGAAATATATTTTTTCGTTATGTTCAGAATGATTTTGGCGAAATTATTGAAAACAGAAATTTTAGCTTGTCTTATATGGCAAGCTGAGCGTTGGGTATTTAAAACCAAAAATCGCAAAATTTTTGGCCCCATTTGGCACGACATTTTATTTATTTTATATGTTATATATATTATATATTAATATTATTTTTATATATATATAAAATATATATAATATATTTATATATATTTATATTATATTTATATATGCAAAAAAAAACCCCTCTGAAAGAATTTGAGAAATTCCAAGCGCTTCGTGACACTCACATTTTTTCAAGGGAATATGAAAATAAAAACGAAATATTTAGGAAAACGCTTGGAATTTCTTATTCTTTCAGGTGGTTTTTTTTGATTTTTGGGAAAACCCTGTTTACTGTGATCTTATTGATTTTATAAATTTTTATTAAAATTTAATATATTTATAAATATATATTTATATATATTTTTATATATATATATTTATATATTTTTATATATATATATATATATATAAAATGGGTGATGGTACCCTAGTGGCCAAAAAACAAAAATCTCTCCTAGAGGACATCAGTAAAATTAAAGACATGGGAGAAAGCCTGGGCCTTTCTTTAAACCCCACCAAATGTGAAATAGTTTCTACCAATCAACAGATGATCCAGAATATTAGTGCCGTTTTACCAGGAGCACGAGCCATTGATCCAGCCAATAGCACTCTCCTTGGTGCTCCTCTTGGATCCAACGCCATCGATCTGATCCTAGAATAAAAAGTCCCAGACCTATGGACGATGGAAAGCAGGATGAAAGACATTGACACACATGATACCTACTACCTACTCACCAGGTGCCTGTCAATCCCAAAACTTACCTACTTTCTGAGATGCCCCCCAGCCTTCAGCAGTCAGAAACTCAAGGAATATGACTCTCTCCTTAACACCATGCTAGAGAGTGTATTGAATCTTTCCCTTGAAGATGGACAGTGGATGCAAGCCTCACTTCTGGTCAGTCTTGGAGGGCTGGGAGTACGCAGATCCTCCCAGTTTGCTCTACCAGCTTTCCTATCCTCTTCCATAGCATCAAAAGAGTTGATAAGACAAATTATTCCTGATACCCTCAGTGACTCAGCAGGAATAGAAGACCCTAGCTATGCCAGTGCCATCACTGGATGGGAGATTCTTGCTGCTCCAGCACCAAACCCTAGTGCAGCACTGGCTCACAAACAGTCAAGTTGGGATGGCCCGATCGCTGAAAAGGTGCTTGCCAACATGCTCAGGGCTGCAACATCAGATAGGGAGATTGCCCGTCTCCAGGCTGTGAGCGCACTTCACTCCGGGGACTTCCTCCAAACAGTTCCCATATCGGCAATGGGAACGCGACTCGGCTCTAAGACTCTCTGTATTGCAGTGGCTGTGCGCCTTGCTGCCCCAATTCACGCAGAATATAAGTGTATTTGAGGTGAAGCGCAAGCAGACCAATATGGTCTACATGGTCTTAACTGTTCCAAAACCATGCAAGACACAATGAGGTAAATGACATCATTAAGAGAACCCTTGCTACAGCTGGATGCCCAGCCGAGAGGGATCCACGATCACTTGCAGCAAACAATACCCACAACCCAGCAAACCGCCCCGACGGGATCACCATCTATCCTTGGAAGAATGGCAAGCTCTTAGCATGGGACTATACCTGTGTGTCCACACTGGCTGACACCTATATCCATCACAATGTTGGGCGACAGGGAGGAGCTGCTGACCACATGGAGGAGTACAAGATCAGCAAGTACAGGGACATAAGCCAACAGTATCAATTTGTCCCAGTGGGATCAGAGACCTTGGGGTCATGGGGATAAAATGCCAAACGTTTCCTTAAAGAATTGGGTTCCAGACTCATCGACACCACCAGGGACCCAAGGGCAGCCACTTTCATGTTCCAGCGCCTCAGCGTCGCCATCCAGAGGGGAAATGCTTGCTGCATATTTGGCTCGCATCCAGCCTCGGAGGAACTGGAGGAAATTCAGGATCTTTGATACATTGCGCCATTGTATTCATGTTTATTTTTTCTATAAATGTATTCTGTTTATTAATAAATGTTCACATAGAATATAAAATATATAGGGGGTGGTAGGAGAAGAAAATATTCAAACAGCTCTGGGGAGAACCTTGAGTTTTCCCTGAGGTACGTTTATTGCCTTCTCTGAGGATGAGGGTCCCCAGTCCAGCCATAGAGGTGGTACTTCCCTATATAATATATATATATATATATATATATATATATATATATATATATATATATATATATATATATATATATATATATATATATATATATATATATATATATATATGGAGGTACCACCTCTAGAGCTGTCCTGGGACCCTCATCCTCAGAGAAGACAATAAACGTACCTCAGGGAAAACTCAAGTTCTCCCTGAAGCTGTTTGAGAATTTTCTCCTACCACCCCCTATATTTAATATATATATTTATATTAAAGACAAAATACATTGACAAAACACTAACAAAGATAGAATAGAAAGTAAAACTATATTAATATAATATATATATTATATATATATATATATATATATATATATATATATATATATATATATATATATATATATATATATATATATATATTATATATATATATATATATATCTATGCAATAAGATTATGGTAAACAGGCGATTTCAGAATATGCAAAACAACCACTGTGAAAGAATAGTGAAATTCTAAGCGCTTTCGCGACTACTCACATTATCGAAGAACAATAAAAGTAATGCATCAGAAGAAGGCATATAAAGGGTCTAGACCACACCTCACCATCACATCCCACAACAAAGCAACACCTGACACGCGACTCATAAGAAAGAGAACTCTGCAGCAGGCCCACTGCCCCAACTAGACAGGTCCTTCACGACATCCCACAAACAAACTATTCTACCCAAAAATTAAGAATTTTAAAATTTATTATTTGTCAAATGTATTATTAAATTCTTCACAAATTCTATTAATTATAAATGGATCTAATTTATATAAACCAAAGGAAACATTCATATTATTTTCAAAACTGTTTTTTATGAAACAAGATTCAATTATATTCCTGTCGACCATGGACTTGCTTGATACAACTTTCTCAACTTTTTGAAAATCAGTTGGATGGTTAAAATCTCTCACATAAATAAATAGAGCATTGGAATCTTGTCCAGTTCTAATGCTATATTTATGTTGTTTTAATCTTAGTTCGAGACTTTTACCAGTTTGACCGTAATAAACTTTATCGCAAATTTTACAAGGAATCTTATAGACACATCCATCAGCATTTTGGGGGGAATTTTTTATCAAAATTTATTTTTTTCCTGCATCATGATTTTTAAATACAACTTTGATATTAAAAGTCTTAAGAAGAGAAGGCATATCAACGAAGTTTTCATGGTAAGGGAGAACCAACATATTTTTAGTTGAATAAGGCTGGTTGTCCCTTTTTGGATTGTTAAATGTATTTTTAGCGATTTTAAAAGATTTATCAGTTACGTTTCTTGAGTATTTCAAATCATTAGCTATTTCATAAATTTTGGATATTTCCTCAACTATGAACTCTTGGACTACAAATACGTAAAGCTCTCAAAAACATTGTTGAGAAAACAGAGTTTAACTCTATATTGATGTGAAGAATAATAGTGTACATAGTAACAGTTAAGAACATAAGAACATATTAATGGAAAATTAATATTTTTTACCAAAAGAACCTTAGAAAACTTACCTAACCTTATTATAGCAAACACAATTTAAATTAGCCTAATCCAACTAAATATGTTTCAGATAAGTTTACATTAATTTAATAATAAACAAACACAATGAAATATATTTTTTTCGTTAGGTTCAGAATGATTTTTGCGAAATTATTACGTAGACAAATTTTCATTTGCCTTATTCGGCAAGAAGAGTGTTGCTATTTAAGCCAAAATCGCAAGTTTTACCTATAATTAGAATGTAATGAAGTGACTGATGCGGGCCAGGATTTGAAAGGGGTTAAGAAGAGAGAGTAACTCTAAACTATCAAAACACATGAACTCTCAGAGAGAGAGAGAGAGAGAGAGAGAGGAGAGAGAGAGAGAGAGAGAGAGAGAGAGAGAGAGAGAGAGAGAGAGAGAGAGAGAGAGAGAGAGAGAGAGAGAGAGAGAGAGAGAGAGAGAGAGCGTGTCAATAAAACTAGGGATCCTTAACCTAACCTTGTCAACCCCTGTGTTAAAAAGAGAGAGAGAGAGACAGAGAGATCCAACAACGCACCTTGAGGAACTCCGGAATGTAGACCTTGGGGTCAAGTTCTGTGACGGGCGGCCACACGATGTTCCTTTGGATCTCCAAGAGACGCTCAAAGTTCTTCAGCCACTTCATCTTGTCGTCCAGTTCTCCTGCAAAGTCACGGAATGGTCAGTCTCATCCTTTTTTTTTTTTTTTTGTTGTTGTTGTTGTTGTTGTTCTCGATTTTGTTAAAACTGGATGAGCAGAATTATGCTTCTGAAGGAATAAAGTGAAATGAGATTAATTTCGTGAGAATTAGGCGAAAAGAAGTTTGATATGAAGATTGATTTTCAAGGAACTAGATGAAATGAAGTCTAATTTCAATGTAATTAGCGAAAAGTTTGATTTTGAAGGAGACACGAATTTTGATTTTCTAGTTGTTAGAAGAAATCAAGTTGGATTTTGGTGAAATTAGATGGAGAGCGGCAAAGTTTATTTACATTTGTTTCTCTGGAATACTGGAACTCTATTACGTCTTGAATAAAGCAAGAAGTAAGAAGACGAAGAACAAGTTTTAAGTCGCGTTTACTAGTATCAAGCGAACTACACACATGACTGTGGAGCAACCTAACGGTGATTACAGGAAGATCCCATATGTCTACCTACCTGGAGTCTACCTGGAGGATATTCCGGGGATCAATGCCCCCGCGGCCCGGTACACGACCAGGCATCCCGTTGGATCAGGGCCTGATCAAACAGGATGTTACTGCTGCCTCCACGTAGTTCAACATACGAACCACAGCCCGGCTGATCCGGTACCGACTTTAAGTATCTGTCCAGCTCCCTCTTGAAGGCAGCCAGTCTTGGGCCCTGGACACTTATTGTGTGTTCACTTAGTGTACCAAGGGCGCTCTTACTTTTCATTAGGGGTATATTGCACCGCCTGCCCCGTCTTTTGCTTTCGTAAGGAGTGATTTCTGTGTGCAGATTAGGGGACCATTCCTTCTAGGATTTTCGAAGAATAGGTTATGATGCATTTCTTTCGCCTGCACTCCAGCAGGCACAAGTCAAGTGCTTCCAAGCGTTCTCAGTAGTTAATGTGTTTGGTGGAACTGATATGTGTCAGTAAAGGTTCTCTGTATATTCTCTAGATCAGCAGTTTCACCTGCCTTGAATGGAGAAGTTATGTACAACAATATTCCAGTATAGAGAGAACAAGTGATTTAAAAAGGTTCAGCACTGGCTTGGCATCTCTTCTTTTGAACGCTCTCGTTACCCATCCTATTATTTTCTTCACAGATATGACAGTGGCACTGCTGTAATGTTTGAAAGTGACAATCTCAGACATTAACACTCCCAGGTCGTTCACATTACTTTCTTGCTCTATTGTATAATTAGAAACTGTTATATACTTAGTTCTAGCTATTACCTCCCCCAGTTTTCCATAACAGAGTAGCTGGAATTTGTCCTCATTGTTTTCTGTGTGCGAGTGTGTGTGTGTGTGTGTGTGTGTGTGTGTGTGTGTTTGTGTGTGTGTACTCACCTAATTGTGGTTACAAGGGTCGAGACTCATCTCCTGGCCCCACCTCTTCACTGATCGCTACTAGGTCCTCTCCTTCTCTGCTTCCTGAGCTTTGTTATACCTCTTCTTAAAACTATGTATGGTTCCTGCCTCCACTACTTCACCGGCTAGGCTATTCCACTTCCTGACGACTCTATGACTGAAGAAATACTTCCTAACGTCCCTGTGACTCGTCTGAGTCTTCAGCTTCCAGTTGTGACCCGTTGTTTCTGTATCCCCTCTCTGGAACATCCTATATCTGTCCACCTTGTCTGTTCCCCGCAGTATCTTGTATGTCGCTATCATATCTCCCCTGACCCTTCTATCCTCCAGTGTCGTCAGTCCGATTTCCTCGTACGACATTCCCCTGAGCTCTGGGACTAGCCTTGTTGCAAACCTTTGTACTTTCTCTAACTTCTTGACGTGCTTGACCAGGTGTGGGTTCCTGACTGGTGCTGCATACTCCAGTATGGGCCTAACATACACAGTGTACAGTGTACAGTGTCTTGAACGATTCCTTATTAAGGTATCGGAACGTTATTCTCAGGTTTGCCAGGCGCCCATATGCTGCAGCAGTTATTTGGTTAATGTGTGCCTCCGGTGTCGTGCTCGGTGTTATGGTCACCCCAAGGTCTTTCTCCCTGAGTGAGGTCTGTAGACTTTGTCCTCTGTCTGCGGTCTTCTTTGCCCCTCCCCAATCTTCATGACTTTGCATTTGGCAGGGTTGAATTCGAGAAGCCAGATTCTGGACCACATGTCCAGCCTGTCCAGGTCTCTTTGCAGTCCTGCCTCATCCTCATCCGATTTAATTCTTCTCATCAGCTTCACATCATCTGCGAATAAGGACACTTCAGAGTCTATTCCTTCCATCATGTCGTTGGCATATATCAAAAATAGCACTGGTCCTAGAACTGACCCCTGTGGGACCCCGCTCGTAACAGGCGCCCACTGTGATACCTCTTCACGTACCATGAGTCGTTGTTGCCTCCTTGTCAGGTTTTCCCTGATCCATTGCAGTTCCCTCCCTGTTATATGCGCCTGATCCTCCAGCTTCTGCACTAATCTCTTGTGGGGAACTGTGTCAAAGGCCTTCCTGCAGTCTAGGAAAATGCAATCAACCCACCTCTCTCTCTAGTGTCTTACTTCCGTTACCTTGTCATAAAACCCCAGAAGGTTTGTGACACAGGATTTGCCTTCCATGAACCAGTGCTAGTTTTCATTTATAATCTTTTTCCGTTCCGTTCCTCCTGATAATCTTCTCAATGACTTTACACACAATACATGTCAGAGACACAGGTCTGTAGTTTAGTGCCTCGTTTCTGTTTCCTTTCTTAAATATGGGGACTACATTAGCTGTCTTCCATTTCTCAGGTAGTTGCCCAGTTTCAAGGGATGTGTTGAAGATTGTGGTTAGTGGAACACACAGCATCTCTGCTCCTTCTCTAAGGACCCACGGGGAGATGTTGTCCGGTCCCATCGCCTTTGAGGTATCAAGTTCACTTAGCAGCTTCTGCACCTCCTCCTCGGTTGTTCGTATGTCATCCAACACTTGTTGGTATATTCCCTCTTGATGTTCCCTTCTGTGCTGTCTTCCCACAGCCCTTCCTGTCTCTACTGTAAAAACTTCCTTAAATCTCCTGTTTAGCTCCTCACATACCTCCTGATCATTTCTTGTGAGTTTTCCACCTTCTGTCCTCAGTCCGATCACCTGGTCTTTGACTGTTGTCTTCCTCCTAATGTGGCTATACAACAGTTTCGGGTCAGTCTTGATTTTCGAAGCTTTGTTATTTTCATACTGTCGCTGGGCCTCCCTCCTTACCTGTGCATGCTCGTTCCTGGCTTTGCTACTAATCTCCCTATTTTCATGTGTTCTCTGCCTTCTGTACTTTTTCCATTCACTATTGCACTTTGTTTTAGCCTCCTTACACCGTCGGGTAAACCAGGGGCTCGTTCTGGTCTTCCCATTGTTTCTGTTGCCCTTGGGAATAAACCTTTCCACTGCCTCCTTGCATTTTGTTGTTACAAATTCCATCATTTCATTTACTGGCTTTCCTGCCAGTTATCTGTCCCACGGAACCTCCTGCAGGAAGTTCCTCAACCCTATGTAGTCCCCTCTTTTATAGTCTTGCTTTTCTCTTTTCAACTCCTGTTACTCTCTCCACTTGCAACTCTACTATGTATTCAAAGCACAGAACCATGTGGTCACTAGCTCCTAGGGGACTCTCATATGTGATGTCCTCAATGTCTGAACTGCCCAGGGTGAACACAAGGTCCAATCTTGCTGGTCCATCCTCCCCTCTCACTCTGGTAGTGTCCTTAACATGTTGGTGTATGAGGTTTTCCAGCACCACATCCAACATCTTGGCTCTCCATGTTTTGGGACCCCCATGTGGCTCCAGGTTTTCTCAGTCAATCTCCCTGTGGTTGAAATCCCCCATAACCAGCAACTTTGCTCTGCTGGAGTGAGCTCTTCTTGCCACCTCAGCAAGTGTGTCCACCATTACTCTGTTGCTCTCTTCATATTCCTCTCTTGGCCTCCTGCAGTTCTGTGGTGGATTATACATCACTGCAATGACTACCTTGTGCTCCCCAGACTGAAGTATACCTACTATGTAGTCCCTTTCTCCTGTCTCGTCTACTGCCTCCCATTTTCTCAAATTTCCATCGGTTTTTTACGAGCAGAGCAACCCCTCCTCCCCCTCTGCCCCTTCTATCTCTCCTCATGATCTGGTATCCTGGTGGGAAGATTGCATCTGTTATTGTCTCCGTGAGTTTTGTTTCTGTAACTGCTATGATGTCTGGGGACTTCTCATTGATTCTTTCTTGCCATTCCTCATATTTATTCGTTAATCCATCCGCATTTGTGTACCAAACCTTCAACTTCGGTTCTAATACTGTAACTATGGTCCTAGGGGAATACTGGGGTTGGGAGAGCAGAAGCCCTGGTGGGGGCCTGTGGGGGGGTTGCAGTGGAAGTGGAGGAAGAGCTCCCATAGGGGGTTGCTGTAAGGGTAGGGTTCATGGTGCAGGGGGTGGGAACAGAGGGATCGGTGTGTGATGGTTGGTTTGGATTGTTCAGTTGCCTTGGGGGTGTCGTGGCTGGAGTCCTTCTGCAGGTGTTTCTGGGGGATGTGCTTGTCCTTCCACCTGTTCCTGGGCTATTCTGCTCTCCTTTTTTCATTTCCTCCCATTCCTCCTTTCGTTTTTGCACTCTCTCTTTCAGTATCATCCTTTCCTCCTGTGTTCTGTCTCGATAGAGGTACACACTCATGAACTCTTGTTTGCCTCTCAGCTGTGCTTTCTCCTGCAGGATCATGGTTCGAGTTGATTCTGCCTTGAAAATTACTTTGAGAGGCCGATTCCTTTTCTTTGCAAACCACCCGATTCTCCTAAAATTTGCCACCTGGGTCATGTTTCCCTCGACTATCACCTTCATGATACCTTCCATCGCTTTTTTCTCCTCCTGCTTTCTTTCATCATAAGTTTCCCCTTCAGCTTCGTCTAGTCCATAGACAAAAACTGATCTCTCCCTTTCCACCTCCCACTGTGACTCCCATTGCATCCTCTGAGGTGTTTTAGTTCCTTCCCATGGAGTGTTCCTTCCTTCAG